CTTTTTTTGAGATAGAGTCTCACTCTATAGCCCAGGCTCGAGTACAGTGGCAGGATCTTGCTCACTGCAACCTCCGCCTCCCAGGTCCCAGATTCAAGCAACTCTTCTGCCTCAGTTTCCCAAGTAGCTGGGATTACAGGCACGAGCCACCATGCCCGGCTAATTTTTGTATATTTTTTTTAGTAGAGATGGGGTTTTACCATGTTGGCCAGTCTGGTCTTGAACTCCTGACCTCATGATCCGCCCGCCTCGGCCTCCCAAAGTGCTGGGATTAAAGGTGTGAGCCACCGTGCCCTAATTTTTGTATTTGCAGTAGAGACGGGGTTTCACCATGTTGGCCAGGCTGGTCTGAAGCTCCTGACCTCGTGATCCATCCGCCTTGGTCTCCCAAAGTGCTGGATTACAGGCGTGAGCCAACTCTCCCAGCCTAAATTATTTTAATAACGTGCTCTGAACAATGACCAAACCATTTCATTATGTTATAGTTGTCTAAAGTTTCTACTGGCTACAGATATAAGACTCCTCCTGCCCAGGTGGCTTTTGCTAAAGAAGTACCCATTCATTCACCCTTTCATGTTCAACTCTTAATCTTCTGAGAACTCACCTTTTGATAGGCCATTCCACCTCCCTACAAAATGCCCTTAAAGCAGAATAAACAGTTTAAAACTACATGTGTATTATCAATTACTTCCTTCTATGGCATATGAAGAATTAGCATTCTTACTCCTACCATTCCCCTCCCCATCTTCAAAATGGAATTATTACAGTTTAGTTAAAATAATAAATGTTTACATGGTTTTGAAAGTCTATTTTAAATATCAGCAAGCTTTTCCCATTTGTCATTATAGCAATACGATGCTCAGAAGTTACTATTTTGTTGCAAAACAAAAGCAAAATTTGTAAGCTAATCATTTACATAAGCTTTTTTAATGACTCTATTTTATTTCTTTAACACACATAATAGTGTCTACAATATGCCAGGCACCAGGGCTCTAAGTGCTTACATGTATCAACTCATTTAATCCTTAGAATATTCTCATGAAATAAGCACTATTATTTCCATTTCACAGATAAGGAAATTTAGATATGAAGAAGTTAAGACACTTGTCCAAGGTCACACTACTAATAGGTAAAGGAGCCAAAATTCAAACACAGGCAGTCTAATTCCGGAGTCACACTCCTAAACAGCATAATAAACTGTCTCTCCAAACTGATGAAAATTCTTGAAAATTGTCCAAAATGAGACACCACAAAATGTAACATTTTGTGAAAGCCTTTTTGGAGGGGAAAAACTACTATAAAATTTAGATTTTAAGGTGTTAAATCAATTACAAGACTTCCATAACAGAAAAAGCATATTTGGCTTAGTTCACATTATATTATCAACTCAAAATAAATTTCCAAAAGAAAAAAGACATATATGTTTAAATGTAATTTTATTTTTTAGATTTTAATAATTAAATATATTAGAAATATAAAATTTTAAATTTATAAGCAACAAGATTATAAGCAAATATAACAGCAATTTTTCTCATAAATTATGCACTAATAAAATATAGAAATATAAGATTTATTAAACACTATAAAAATTGAAATATCAAATTAGTGGTCTTTTTCCCAGTACATAGATTAAAAATAAAAAATCCTTGATATGTAAACTGTAACTTTATTATGAGATTAGAAAAATAGTTACATTTCATAGTATTTTAATAAATTATTCTTAATTTAACAGGATTTTCAAAAATATAGACCTTGTTTTGTCACTAAGTAATCGTGTGATCTAGGCTTCCCAGAAGCCATTCTGGGTTTCAGCGTCCTTGTCTACAGAATGAAGAACTTAAACTACATAATACCTACAAATCTATATAGTTCTAAAACTTATAAAATTATACTTTTTAAAAAGTTTTGAACTTTAAGTCTCACCTCATCTGAAGAATCTACTTGTCCCAAAGTTCCTGTTGCGCCTACAAAACCTTTGGAGGAGAAGAAAAATAGTTGTCCTTCATAGTTGCTACATATTGCTTTACTTTCAAATTATTCTGAGAAATACAAATATCAAAAAGCTAAATTTTGTTACCTTAGGACACCTCATTCTAACGGTTATCTTCTTGGCGAAGTCCAACACTTTTTTTTTTTTGAGACGGAGTCTTGCTCTGTCACCAAGGCTGCAGTGCAGTGCACAATCTCAGCTAACTACACCCTCCACCTCTAGGGTTCAAGTGATTCTCCTACCTCAGCCTCCCAAGTAGCTGGGCTTACAGGTGCCTGCCACCATGTCCAGCTAATTTTTGTATTTAAGTAAAGATGGGGTTTCACCATGTTGGCCAGGCTGGTCTCAAACTTCCAGTCTCAGGTGGTCCGCTACCTCAGCCTCCCAAATTGCTGGGATTACAGACGTGAGCCGCTGGGCCTAGCCTCCAACATTTATCTTAAATAAGTTTGGACCTAATAGGTTGATACTTCAACAGGAAATCTCCAGTGAAAACTCGGATTTAATACAGTTAATTACAAATGGTGTTTCAGAAGGATCTCTTTCTTTTTAGTTTTAAACCACAGTTTACTAAAATACTGAGGTAGTAAAGTTATGGGCTACTCTTGAACAACAACTATACATTTTTCCTGAGATAGAAACAAAACTAATAAGTTAATCAAATTCCATTTAAGAAAAATGTACCCCTCCTTTGCCAATCTATTCTTTTTTGGCTCTGAATTTTTACTACAATTACTACTTTTCTTACAAGGAATAATACTATTTTAGCTCAAAATAAATTTTTCCAATAATGAGTAAAGTTTGAGAGGTTTTTTGGTTTAAATACAGAAAAGTTACTACTGTTCAAATTTAATATTTAGACAAACCTTGAACTGCTAGAGAACTAGTACCAGCAGATGGCTCCTGCACACCATATACAAGCTTATCCTCAGGATATGTAAGTCCAGAGCTCTTCAAAGCTATAAGGTACTTTTCATGACTTTTCTTTGCACAAGCATTTTCCCCAAGACCTAATTAAAACAAACTTCAAATCAGAAAAAAATATTCCATTCAAAATCTCAGTATGGTCTTTTCGTTAACTAATATCTATAAATAGGTAAATATTCTAATGGAGGGGGAACCCTAGAATGAATAATGTAAGATAGCTTCAGATAACATTTTGGTGCTTATGTTTATCACCAGAATATACAGCATGTTTATACCAAATAATGAAATCTACAAAGTAGGTTAGCATCTAAAATATCCAAGGGAATGTGGGACACAAAGATTAATAAGACATGATCTTAGCTTTCAAGGAACCTGAAAATTACACAGAAGACAGGCAGAGAGTTAATATGGTAGATGATAATTATGTAGTAGAATTCGCCATTTGGCTTGACAGTCTGTGCTCTCGTGATACCAACCATGCAGTTATCCAAAGCAGAGTGCTTGGGAAAGGCTTTTGAATGTTTTGTATAACAATATACCATTCAACAATTCTAAGTTTTATAACTTAAACTGTGTATTATTAGAAAATCTTAGGCCATACAACCCAAAAACCTAGCATATCAAAAGTGAAAACATAGACATGATGGTTGTTACTGTTTAAAGAAAGGGGATCACTTCTCAGCCTTCTGGCTAAGAACGAGTGTTTAAAGAGAGGTACAGCATAATTACGTCACATCAAAAGTTAGGAGACCTGGGTTCTAGTACCAACTCCAACATAAATTAATTGTGAGGTTTAAATAGGTCATTTCATTTTTCTAGGGCTATTTCCTCATCCATAAAACAAGAAGTTCTTTTAATAACTTCCAGCTTTAGCATTCTATGAAAAATCTAAAATTTACCTTTTTTAAGTTCTGAAATACTCAATTTCTTATCATTATAATAATACATGTAAACTATAAACTTCTTCAAACATTTTACTTACCAGAAGTTAGATCTTTGTAATTTTGCTGGTTTGTCAAAACCTGAGTAAGAACAGACCGCATTGCTCCTCCCATTTTAGTTAGGTCTTCTAAAAAGGAAATTTGAGGTTCCAAAAGCTGAAGGACTTTGTTAAGGTCCTTTTCTGATGGTCCATCAGCTGCTAAAAGAAAAAAAGAAAAAAAATCAAATAAGGATGATTTTCTTTAAAATATCTTACTAAAAATAACAGTATTTATTCTTTCAAAATTACAGTGGTGTATAGTATTTTATAATCAAAAAAGTCAATACAAGAACTCTGTTCAGAAAATTGGTATCTACCCAGCACCCACCCAAGCAAGGGTAGACTTGCTCAGGAATTCAGTCCTTTGGAAAAAAGACAGAAAAACAGAAATGACCTCCTAAGGTATGAAGCACTTAATTTGTATAAGAAGCATTTGAATACAAAAAATTAGCCAGATGTGGTAGTGTGCACCTGTAGTCCCAACTACTCAGAGTCTGAAGCGGAAGAATGGCTTAAGCCTAGAAGTGAAGGTTGCAGTTTACTGAGATTATGCCACTGTACTCCAGCCTGGGTGACAGAGTGATACCCTGTCTCAAAACAAAATGAACAAACAAACAAAAAGCAGCATTGATCTGTGGGCCCTATACTTCCACATATATAAATGTTACCATAAGACTGTTTCAGAAAAAGATAATATTTAAGAAAAAGTTTAGATCACATCCTAGAATAAAACAAGACAGAATTCAAATATATTCAGAGTAGTATAAGAATATTAGGACAAAATTATGTCAAATTTAAATCTGTATAACAAATAACCCGCTGGGCGCAGTGGATAATCCCAGCACTTTGGGAAGCCAAGGCAGGTGGATCACAAGGTTAGGAGTTCAAGACCATCCTGGCCAACATGGTGAAACCCCATCCCTATTAAAAATACAAAAATTAGCCAGGCGTGGTGGTGCACGCCTGTAGTTCCGGCTACTTGGGAGGCTGAGGCAGGAGAATCACTTGAACCCGAGAGGCAGAGGTTGCAATGAGCCGAGATCGCCCCACTGCACTCTAGCCTGGCGACAGAGCGAGACTCCATCTCAAAAAATAAATAAAAATAAAAATAAATAACCCATCCCCTATAATATTCCAAAAATACAGATTCATGTTAGCTGAAGGGCAAAGCAACTAAAAGATAACTTTTCATAAACATGAATAATATTATTAAAAACTAAAAACTTAAAAAAAAAAAAACAGGCAAAGAGAGCTGGAGAGAAAGAAAAGCAGCTAGGACAACAACTAAAAAAGAGTATAAAGATGAAAAGAATAGAGATGTTTTACAGAAGCCAAGGTCTAAAACGAAGGAAATGAATAAAGAGATTTATAGCTTAACCATAATTGCTTTTAAAACCAAAACAAACAAATGAACAAAACCACACCTATAAAAGAGGTGATGGAGAGCCTGTGTGTCCAGGAAAGCGGATGTCCATTTCATTCAACATTTATTCAGAATCTCAAACCCTATTTTCTCAGTGTAAAGCTAATGCTATTTATTATTCAACTTTATATTCTCCTCAGTGACTTACATAGTAACATAGCAGATGTTTAATTAATGTTTGCTCTTGGTTTTCCAGGGCTCTGACACAAGCTCTAACACAGATTTAAGGATTATAGGGTGAATGAGAAAGAGAATTGAAAGAAATTGGGAAACCTCAAGATCTTAGAGCTTTCATTGCCTTGGATTAGGTTATCGTAAGCTCTTTAATTTTAAACAGTAATCTCTATACAAAAATGCAGAATTTTTTTTTTTTGCACAGACAGCAATTAATGCTGAACAGAAGTAATAATATAAGGAAGAAACTTTCATGAACCTACATTCATGCAGTTCATCTTTAGACAAAAACTGTTTCCATTCTTTCCTTCATGTTTTCAGATCATAACATAATTATAAAGCTATGTACTTATGTTGTCTACCTTTTATAACTGTAATGTTAAATCAATAACAACAAAACTATACAAGCCAGGCACGGTGGTTCACGCCTGTAATCCCAGCACTCTGGGAGGCCAAGGTGGGTGGATCAACTGAGGTCAGGAGTTTGAGACCAGCCTGGCCAACATGGTGAAATCCCATCTCTACTAAAAATACCAAAAATTAGCCAGGAGTGGTGGCAGATGCCTGTAATTCCAACTACTCGGGAGGTTGAGGCAGGAGAATCACTTGAACCCGGGAGCCGGAAGTTGCAGTGCGCTGAGACTGTGCCACTGCACTCCAGCCTGGGCTACAAGAGCAAAACTCCATCTCAAATATACATATACATATACAGTATATATATATATATACACACACACATATATATATGTGTGTGTGTATATATATATATATATATATATATATAAAATACACTTTAGTGTGAAGTATTCTTTGATTAAACTAATGATAAGCTTTAAGGTTCTCATAATAAATAATTTGTTTCTAAAATAGAATGCCTGTAATACAAAACGTAAATTCCCAAAAAGGTCTGCTAACTAGTATGTGAGATATAATGCAGAAGGCAATTTCAATAACCCAGCTAGTAACTGGTTCCTTAATTCCAAAGAGACAGTAATCTGGAATCAAATCAAAATAATATTTTTCTCTATATATTCCTTTTTTTTTTTTTTTTTTTTTTTCGCTCTTTGCACCTCTAACTTTTTTGACACAAGATCTCATTCTGTCACCCAGACTGGAGTGCAGTGATGTAATCATAGCTCATGGCAGCCTTGAACTTCTGAGCTCAAGGAATCCTCCTACCTCAACCTCCCCAGTAGCTAGGACTACAGACACATGCTACCACCACACCCAGCTATCTTTTAAAAGTGTTTGTAATCGCTTCTTGGCCTTTTGGCCAAGATCAAGTGTAAAAATGTTTGTAAAGACAGGATCTCTATGTTGCCCAGCTGGTCTTAAACTCCCGTCTTCAAGCAATCCTCCTGCCGCAGCCCCTCAAAGTGCTGGGATTACAGGTATGAACCACCATGCCCAGCTTATTTTTCTATATTTTAAGATATATACTCTCGATATATATATATATTCAAGTAGATATATATTCTACTTGTTAAGTAGAAGTACTTAACAAAGGATTGTATGTTTTTGCTTAAAATGTACAAATATGGAAGTATAATGGTTTCCTCACAATAATGATAAGATAGTTTAAGAAATGAGGACATTATATAACATTCCTCTACACTTTAAGGATAGCAACAGAAGATGAAAATGTGTGCCACAGTTTCAAAATGAATATTAAGTTATTTATAGTACTAAATAATTTTAAACCTTTAAAAGTAATGCAAAATGTAGTCTCTTATAGAACAGAAATGCAGGTATCATCAGAAAGGCAAAAGACATAACAAAAAGTTAATAAATTTGATTCATACTACTAATGAATATCTGTAATTCACAACGTCAGACTGAGAACTTTAATAGATACCTAAATCCAAATATTTAACTAAATGAAGTATATTAATCAAGATTGTGATTAAATCTTAAAAGGTAAGAAGAACATCTGTAATTTAATTCTCTTTTAAATACTAACATGATTACACACACCCAATCTGAAAGTGAGCAATTTGACCCTATCATAAGTTATTATATAATATACATGGAGAATAAATATATAATACAAACCCCTTTAAAAAAAGTTGATAAAGCATTTTATCTTCTAAAATCTAAGTTAAATCCAAACATTTCCAGGAGTTCTCAATTCTGCTTTATCCTAATATTGCAAATAAAGTCACTTTAACCCCACAAAATGGTTACTTCCTGATCTACAAAATCAAGTAAGTTTGACCAAAAACGTTTATGACCCCAGAAGCAGAAAGCACCAAACTACGTCTACTACAACATATCTATAAGGTTATATAATTTATTTTTAGCGTGTTTCTATTCAGTCTGTA